GCTGCCACAGTGTGGATCTGCCGGTGCTTGCAGAGGTAGGAGCGCTGGCTGAAGCTCTTGCCGCACTGGGAGCACTGGTGGGGCTTCCCTGCCCCGTGGATCCGGCGGTGCTTCACCAGGTACGAGCTGCGGGTAAAGCACTTCCGGCACTCGGGGCACTGGAAGGGACTCTCCTGCACCGAGCCAGGAGGTATCTCAGCCAGGCCTCCCCCCAGCTCAGTGCTGACAGCTTGATTCTCACTGGCCTGGAGATTGTGCAGTGCAGCTGGCTGCAGGCTCTGGGCCACGGCACACTCTGCACCGTGGCAGGGCTCCCCATGGCCTGGATGCACAGTGCACAGTGCCAGGCCCTGCTCTGCGCCGTGGCAGGGCTCCCCGTGGCCTAGCTGCACTGCACGCAGTGCCAGGGCCTGCTCTGCGCTGTAGCAGGGCCCCCTGGGGCCTGGCTGCACTGCACTCAGTGCCAGGCACTGCTCTGCACCGTGGCAGGGCTCTCCGCCTGCTCTGCGCTGTAGCAGGGCCCCCTGGGGCCTGGCTGCACTGCACTCAGTGCCAGGCACTGCTCTGCACCGTGGCAGGGCTCTCCGTGGCCTGGCTGTCCTATACTCAGTGCCAGGCCCTGCTCTGCTCTGCAACAGGGCTCCCCGTGGCTTGGCTGTCCTATACTGTGGCCTGGCTGCACTGCACTCAGTGCCAGGCCCTGCTCTGCTCCGTGGCAGGGCTCCCCGTGGCCTGGCTGTACTGCACTCAGTGCCAGGCCCTGCCCTGCTCCGTGGCGGGGCTCCCCGTGGCCTGGCTGTACTGCACTCAGTGCCAGGCCCTTCTCTGCTCCCAGGCAGGGCTCCCCGTGGCCTGGCTGCACTGCACTCAGTGCCAGGTCTTGCTCTGCACTGTGGCAGGGCTCCTCGTGTCCTAGCTGCACTGCACTCAGTCCCAGGCCCTGCTCTGCACCGTGGCAGGGCTCCCCATGGCCTAGCTGCACTGCACTCAGTGTCAGGTCCTGCTCTGCCCCATGGCAGGGGGCCCCCGGGGCCGGGCGGGC